AAAGTCCAGTTGTTCTTGAGCTGCAGAACAAACACTTGGTCTTCCTGCACAGCGTGCCGCTGCACAGCTGCTGCCGAAAGACTCGGTGGTTGAGAAGCTCGATGACGCCCGTCCACACCCAGTACTGATCAAAAACTCCCCGTCGTGACCAACGTGTGTCTGCGTTCACAGACACTGAGCAACGGATTTAAAAATGAATAAACTAACTGCGTTAATGTGTTAACGTGCCCAGCACTAATTATTACTAAGCTTTAATTGGACCGGGTTAGTGGGCCACAGAAACCTGAAGAGTGTGGAGTTCCAAACCGCTTGAGATGATCCGTTTAGGCTAAATGAGTAAGTTAATCCGCAGAAGATCCAGATTAATCTGCTTTGTGCTGGTCCCACAGCAGAGGTTCTGTTGAGGTTCTGATCCCACAGATACATTTACATTCACATATAAGATGTGTTTTTGTTGCTGTGCCCTTTGACCTCTGAAGTCCAAAGACTCTTGGTGTGCTTGCAGACCTACAGGAGGTTCTGGATGACGACTCTGACCCAACTCGGTCAGCTCTGAGCGCTGTGGCCTCGCTGGCTGCAGCCTGGCCACAGCTGCATCAGGGCTGCGCTCTGAAACAGCTGGACCTGGACAGCTGCACCCTCTCAGAAATTCTACGTCTGCACATCCTGGCTTCTGGTGCTGACTGTAGCCATGGCAACGCCAAGTTTTTCTACCAGAAGCAGGGAGGCTTCACAGTGATGGACGATCCGTGCGTGGAGCTGCGCTTGTCCGAACCGGCGCTGCTGAAACGGCTGTCCTGCACCCCGGTGTACGACCTGACTGCAGGTGAGCGCCCGCCCGCCCATCCGATCCGATCTTCAGTCGGTGCACGTACGGGTCAGCATGTGAGAAGAGTTCCTATGGAGTAGCCTGGTTCTGTTAATACACGGGTAATCTGTTAATGTTGATGTCTGCTAGCTTTAAATGTTAGCTAGCGTTGCTAATGCTAATTGTCGAATGATCCCAGAGGAGCTGGAGCCACGAGGACTTCACATAAAAACCTGAAACACATTTAACTGCAGAAACTTGACCAGCCTCCGTTTTTAAATGTGATTAAAGATCAAAATAACAATAATGTTAATTTCTATAGAAGAAAGTTGAAACACACTCAGGATAAAATAAAACATAAACCAACTTGTCTTCAGGAGAAAAGCTGAAGATCCTTCAGGCTCTACTGGGGAAGCTGCTGACGTTTGCGTCCAGCAGAGATTTGATTGAAGACTCTCAGGAGGAACAGAAAGCAGCCAGACAGGAGCTGAGAGAGATCCGAGCTGAGCAGCACCGCCGAGACAGGGAGGAGGCTGCGTACAGGTAAACACACACCTGTATACATGTAAACACACCTGCTGCGTACAGGTAAATACACACCTTTATACATGTAAACACACCTGCTGCGTACAGGTAAATACACACCTTTATACAGGTAAACACACCTGCTGCACGCAGGTAAACACACACCTGTATACATGTAAACACACCTGCTGCGTACAGGTAAATACACACCTTTATACAGGTAAACACACCTGCTGCACGCAGGTAAATACACACCTGTATACATGTAAACACACCTGCTGTACGCAGGTAAACACACACCTTTATACAGGTAAACACACACCTGCTGTACACAGGTAAATACACACCTGTATACAT